CTGTGCCCGCCTCGGGAGGCCCCCGGCCGCTCCGCTGCCCTCACGGCCCCGCGTCCCTTTCTGAAGATACGTTTCGTTTCCTCCAGGGATGGGCTGCAGAGCAGCCAGGAGCCTGCCCCACCCAGGGGGAGCGTTTGGGTCACACCAGGTGTTGTGCAGGTGGCCTGGATGTAGTGTCCTTTCTTCTCACCTATTAGGAGACCAAGCTCATGTGCAGAAACGTTGATTTGTTTTCCTTTCCAAGCCACAATTCCAATTCTACCCCTGGTGCACTGTGGGCAGGAGAGGGCGGGTTGTGGCCAGCTCATCAGGCAGTGCTCTGCTGTCACCAGTACGATGCTTCTTGAGCTCAGCAACTTTGCACATACCCTATTTTTTTTTCCTTTTTTTTTATTTCTTACAGCTTCAGAAAGCATCATCTCCGTTCCCACCATCATGGAGGATGATGACCAAGAGGTGGATTCCGCTGATGAATCGGTTTCCAACGACATGATTGCTGCTACAGATGAGCCTTCCAAGATGTCCTCGGCGACGGGCCGGAGGATACGGCGGTTCAAGCAAGAGTGGCTTAAGAAGTTTTGGTTTCTGCGGTACTCCCCGACGCTGAATGAAATGTGGTGCCACGTCTGTAGGCAGTACACGGTGCAATCCTCTCGGACTTCAGCCTTCATAATTGGCTCAAAGCAATTCAAGATCCACACGATAAAGCTTCACAGCCAGAGCAACCTCCACAAGAAGTGCCTGCAGCTTTACAAGCTCAGGATGCACCCCGAGAAGACGGAAGAGATGTGCCGAAACATGACCCTGCTCTTCAACACAGCCTACCACCTGGCCCTGGAGGGCAGGCCCTACTACGACTTTCGGCCCCTGGCAGAACTGCTGAGGAAGTGCGAGCTCAAGGTGGTGGATCAGTACATGAACGAGGGCGACTGCCAGATCCTAATCCACCACATCGCCCGGGCTCTGCGCGAGGACCTGGTGGAGCGCATCCGGCAGTCCCCCTTCCTCAGCATCATTCTGGACGGGCAGAGCGACGACCTGCTCGCCGACACGGTGGCGGTTTACGTGCAGTACACGAGCAGCGACGGGCCTCCGGCGACCGAGTTCCTGTCCCTCCAGGAGCTGGGCTTCTCCACAACGGACAGTTACCTCCAGGCGTTAGACAGGGCCTTTTCCAGCCTGGGCATACGGCTGCAGGATGAGAAGCCAACTGTCGGCTTGGGCGTCGACGGTGCTAACATTACCGCCAGCCTGAGAGCCAACTTGTTCATGACAATCAGAAAGACCTTGCCCTGGCTTCTCTGCCTGCCCTTTATGGTGCATAGGCCCCACCTGGAGATTCTGGATGCCATCAGTGGGAAGGAGCTGCCTTGCCTGGAGGAGCTAGAAAACAACCTGAAGCAGCTGCTCAGTTTCTATCGTTACTCCCCCCGCCTCATGTGTGAGCTGAGGGTCACTGCTGCCACCCTGTGCGAGGAGACCGAGTTCCTGGGGGACATTCGAGCAGTGAAGTGGATCATCGGGGAGCAGAACGTGCTCAACGCTCTCATCAAGGATTACCTGGAGGTCGTTGCCCACCTGAAAGACGTCAGCGGCCAGACCCAAAGGGCGGACGCTTCTGCCATCGCCTTGGCTCTCCTGCAGTTCCTGATGGACTACCAGTCAATAAAACTCATCTACTTCCTGCTGGATGTGATCGCTGTGCTTTCACGCCTCGCCTACGTCTTCCAGGGCGAGTACCTCCTCGTGTCACAGGTGGACGATAAGATAGAGGAGGCCATCCAGGAGATCAGCCGGCTGGCAGACTCGCCCGGGGAGTACTTGCAGGAGTTCGAGGAAAACTTCCGCGAAAGCTTCAACGGCATCGCTGTGAAAAACCTCCGGGTGGCTGAGGCCAAATTCCAGTCGATCAGAGAAAAGATCTGCCAGAAGACCCAGGTGATCCTCGCCCAAAGGTTCGATTCCCGCAGCCGGACGTTCGTGAAGGCCTGTCAGGTGTTTGACCTTGCGGCTTGGCCCAGGAGCACCGACGAGCTGATGAGCTACGGGAAGGAGGATATGGTACAAATATTTGAGCACCTGGAGACGGTCCCGTCGTTTTCCAGAGAGGTCTGCAGAGAGGGGATGGACACCCGGGGGAGTCTGCTGTTGGAGTGGCGAGAACTCAAGGTGGATTATTATACCAAAAACGGTTTTAAAGACTTGCTCAGTCACATTTGTAAATACAGACAGAGATTCCCCCTCCTAAATAAAATCGTTCAGATCCTCAAAGTCCTCCCCACGTCCTCGGCCTGCTGTGAGAAGGGGCGCAGCGCCCTGCAGAGAGTGCGCAAAAACAACCGCTCCCGGCTGACGCTGGAGCAGCTCAGCGACCTGTTGACGATTGCCGTGAACGGGCCGCCCATTGCCAACTTCGATTGCAAAAGGGCCCTAGATAGCTGGTTCGAGGAGAAGTCGGGCAATAGTTACGCGCTGTCGGCCGAGATGCTGAGCAGGATGTCGTCCCTCGATCAGAAGCCGATGTTGCAGAGCGTGGACCATGGCTCTGACTTTTACCCCGATATTTAGGAAGGAATGCCTCAGATCAGAAAGGTGTTGAGTAATTTTTTTTTATCTATACTCTAAACTTTGATATATTATATAGAATATATATATATAT